GTTCATGCTAATGACAGAGAAGCAAAACTTTGAGCAGCAAGCACATTTCCAAAGAGAATAAAACCATCTCTAAACACAATGCCTGAAAACCTTATGAAAGCCTCCAAATGAAATCAATTAATCCTCCAACCATGATAAATTTCTTAACCATTTAAGAAACGTATTTCAGACTCTGCTGTGACCCTTTATCACCAGACCTAATGGATTACTTTATTAATAATGCACTGCTCTTAAAAGGAATTTTTCTGAAGATTCTACCATAAGAGAGCATTTTTGGAATGGCTATGACAAACAGGCTGACATGTTCACCTTGTATTTATTAAAGATAATAAAATTTAACACTAACTCCAAAGAAGACAAATTATGTTCTGCTGCCAGGGTATCAAGTATACTTTCTACTGCATTAAACCAAAATTAGACCAAACTGATTTCCAAGAACAAGCTGCTTCCTTTGCCCTGTTACCCAAGCTGAAAAATGTCCTTACACCGTTTCAACGCTTGTTATGTCAACCAGGCAATTATCACGTGTCAACAGCATCTGGGGATGAAGCATGATGACATCCTAGCCAGATCCTTCAGCTATCTAGTCTGAACAAACACTAGGAGCTATTTCATCACTTGCCATACTCCTATACAAAGCAGTTTGCTCCTTCCACTCTTCTTCCCATAGGATGAGATTTCTTTAAGTTGATATCTTGATTTTCAGTGCTCCAATTACAGTAGCCTCCACCTTTTGAATAGGTGTAGGCAATTACTTTACTACCCCGTGGTTCTGCCATGCTTCCATAATTTCCACTTCAGGGGCAGAGGGATCTCCAGGAAGAACTATCTCTAGCTCCACACTTGGTCAGCTTTGGAGAAACAGTGCAAATGTGTTTTTTGGTCCTTTATGGCCAAACTGAGTCTCAAATTCTGCTGCTAAACACGCTCCAATTTTATTTAGAATACTTCTTTGACAACTTTTTATCTCCTCTTCATGAATATATTAATCCATTGCTGTGACTTCTGAGTCACAAAAGGACACTGCTTCATGAACTAAAGCCAGACCAAACCTCCGAAATCACACCAAAACCCTATGTGTGAAGACCAAGCCCTCAAAAAACCAACAGGTAACTCAGCTAAGCAGGCAAAAATAAGATCTTTGGTGACCTTTATCAGTCATTTTTTTAAGTAAGCTGATGTCTGGGAAGATGTGGAAGCATTCTTCATACATGGTAAGCTAGACACCAACGGACCACAGAAAAGATCCAAGGTAAAGTGGCACAGGAGACAAAAAGGAAAGAGAGCTTCAGGAGCATTAGGCAACAGAAAAGTTAAATTCCATGTCATGGGAGGAAAAGCCACCATGCCATCTCCCCTTCTCTCTATCTATCTCGGCATGACTCCTCAATAGGTACACCTGAGACAGGTAGACTCCAAGGAAAACAAAAGATACCAGCAGCATGCAGAACAGCTCCTCCTCCTACGTGGCACAATTTGTACCTGCTGTATTTTAGTGTGCATGGAGAGTTTTATCCACAGAACAGGATTGCTTGGACCAGTGCTGCTGCAGCCAGGTGTGTCTCCATATCCATCTACCTGTCTATGGTACCTCCCTATGGCAGCTGGCATGCTCCCTCGTGAAGCCAGCCCACAGCCCTGCTGTCCTGGCCAGGGCACTGTGGCACAACTCCTGTCACTGACATTACACAATCCATTTCTCTGCTTTTCTAATTCCAAATGCTGCGGCTTTTTGCCTTCTATGTGGGGCAAGATGGGCTCTCACACAACAGGGAACTCAACTGCTGCACTAACCCAGTTTCAAATTACCTAATATTCATTGCCCTCAATACCTCCCATCAACCTAAGACCCATTCTCCAACCCAAATGCACACAACCACTGAGTATCCATATTGTTCTTTTCCTTTTTAAAGAAACTATGAAATTTTCTTTCTATATAAAGCCAAGGTACATGTTTAATGGAGTCCTCTGATGTGTTATTTACTCAGCCTACTCTTGAGATCTGTTTAATCAGAGTTCTGCTCAAAAACACAAAGGAGCCGTGATTTGGGGTGCTCCTGTCTATGCAAACATCGGGATGAACACACAGCTGATCAGTGCTTTTACAAGTGCACACACACTCCACAATTTGGTTGAAGGATGCCATGTCTGGTTAACACAGCACAAGTTAGCTGAAAAGGAAACTTTCACCCCCCACACACATAACAAAGAGCTGTGATTTCTATTAGTGCATTTCATACCATACATGCTGATTACCAGGCTGTGCTTCATTGTTAGCAGAGATTACAGCTGGGATAAGCTGCAGCTTTTTCCTAATTGCTATTATGATGACTGAATTTTTGTTTTGTGTCAAGCATTATTCACACATTATACTCCAAAATTTGATCCCTCTATGATGCATTATTGATTCCATGCAGGCAATCATACTGCCAATGTGAAGAATTAATTTGGGCTATTCTACTTGATTTGCATTGCTCCATCATAGCAGAACATAGTTCTGTAGGGAGGCACAAATTGAAAAGGGAGATTTAACAAAATACAGAAAATACTGCTGCCCTTTAAAAGAGATGAATCCTAAGGAGGGGGAAAAATACCCCCCAAAAACCCAAACCCAGCACAGCACGTGTGGTCCAGAAAGAAATAAGGTCAGTCAGCCAAATTCATCTTAGTCAGAGGAAGGTTACAAGAGTAGCCTTATGCCTCTAATAAAGTAAACTAGCTTGCTTCAACTTATATTGCCAAAGAAAACAACTGAACACCTCTGAGAGTGACACTGCTTCAAAGCCTTTGAAACCCTGTTAGCTTCATTTGTTTTCCCAGCATAAGCAATACTCAAGCACTTAGCGTGTCTTTTATCCACAGGCCAGTCAACTGCAAAGCTGATCTAGAAGATGTGTAACAGATGCTCCACATCTACTCTTTTTTTTTTTTTTTAAAGTTCTACTGTGTTAACAAAGGAACTTAGGAGATCTTAACAGAAATAAAGCCTGTGATTTACTTTTTTTCCCCCCATAAATAGGATTATTTCACAGTTTTGGGATGCCAACTTAATTAGCACGGAATAAATTCAGAAGGGCATGACAACTTACACAGAGACTTTTATCTCACACTGGTCAACTCTTAGCCCAAAACTGATTGAATCTGCATATAAGAGGGCACTGATAATGATGCATTTCTGCTTAGTCTCATATTTTAGCGTCAAGTCTTTGTGAAAAGTCCACATTTTTTCATTGTCTCCAATGCTTCATGGAACAAAATCTCCCATGCCATCCCAGAAACTAGATTAAAATTCTACATGCGTGAATATACCAGAGTGAGTATTTTAGAAATCAAACTTATAATGAGAGAAGACCTCAAAATGCTAGGTTGAAAATTTTTGGGAGGCAAGGAAAGGAGCTTGGGAAGAGAAACTTTACTAGAAGACTTCTAGTCTTTCAATAGTCAAGCCTTCCTAAAATTATTCTCCAGTGCAGTACTAATTCAGTTGTAAAATACTAGAAGGCAGATATGGGTTGTGGAATAAAAATAATATAATTACAACTTAATAGCACTGAGCAGCTTTCAGTACTAGTCACAAAACATGGTTAGCATGACCCCGACACAGCAAAGTAAGTGACTTTGAATTACAAGTTATTTTCCTCATAAATATTTTAAAAAGCAATACATATATTCAAGTAAAATCAATGTTACTGCCAAAACACCCAACTTCCAATTTCTCCAAGCTCTTTTGCTCCCTGTGAAAAGCTGTTTCCTGTCTACAGTCTTACAAATATTCAGTAATTTCTCTTACTCTCGAATGGCAACTGCCTATGACTTATTTTTTCTTTAAACGCTTAAAGAGGTTTCTGAAATAAATTTTCAAAGATCAGGGAAATCCATTCCACGGCCCACTTCATCCATTTATACAGGTGGCATGAAGTAAGGAGATAACAGGCAGAACTGCCTGTTAGAAGTTAAGATGCAGCTCCTGCTTTGCATGCACAAAGTGCCACCAAGGTGGAGGTCCCTGGCAAGAGGCAGTGCCATGGATGGAAGTCCATGTGGATGGCTACAGAACCCTTCTGCTCTGCCTCAGTTTTAATACTTGCTTTCAGTGAGGGAAGACCTAAGCCACAAAGCAGCCTTAGCAAAAAAAAAAAACCAAAAAAACAACACAACACTCATTAAAAAGTTGTGATTGGACTTACCACCTTCGTCCCAGAAACTACTAATGACTGAGCAGTTAAGTTGCACACCCCGGCAGGCAACGTGCAAAAGATAGCATCAGGTCATTCAGGTTACTAACTAACACTGTCTGATATTCCTCACAGCAATTTGTTCCCCTCAAGCATCCTTGATAAGGACTAGTCAGCTTAAAAAAATAAGCATATGTGAAGTCCTAAAATCAGTCAAGCCCTCCTTCAGCTTCATTCATGAAATTACATCCCAAATGAACATCCACTTCTGCTATTAAAAGAAGGGGGTAAATTCTTAGAATAAACCAATGCTATTTTTTTTTTTTTTTGCCACAGAGACTTATTAGCTTCTTGTCATTATGTTTATAGCTATGAAGAAAAGCTGTGAGAAATACATATTAAAAACGCACATTAAAGAGACCTAAATGGCATGCAAATGAAAGGGAAAGAAAAATCGCAAAATTAGATTTACAATAAAAGCTGTTAAAACTAACAGGCTAAAATGGATATATTAGAGTAACTTGGAGAAAGAAAAATCTACATAGATATTTAAAAAAAAAAAGAAAAAAAATCAAGCTGTTTCTGCTGTGTCCTTCAGCAAGCACAGCCTGGAGTAAACCCTTCTTAGCTGTCCGATCATGTCAGAGACGAGGTATAAAAATAAAGAGCGAGCATGCTTTTACCTACACAAGAGAAACACATCAGAAGCTCAGAGCGGAACACTCAGAAATGCACGGCGCACATCTGTTTCAAAACTACTTATTTCTACATCAGCAGCACACAGAAGACACCGAGCACAGGCTTACACAATCTCAGCCCACCTACCGTCCTCCTTGTCCAGCACCATCATCTCCGCAATCAAGAAAAGTCCGGGCACAGATGTTTCTTCTCCAGCAGCCTCCGCTCAGGGGAGAGGAGAGCAAGTCTCTGGGAACACAAATGAGCTACGGTACAGCTGATCGTCCTTTAGCAGCAAGTGAGCTCTAATTACCCAGTTGTCCAGCTTTTAACCTAGATTGCACTCAGTTAGAATTACACTCAGAAATAAAGCACTTTGCAGATACAAAAGCAGTCTCACCTACTTTGGTGCCTCAGAATTGCAAGGAGCTAAAACTGCAATTTAGAAAGAAGGGGGATCAGAGCTGTTTCTTTGGTTCTCACCTTCTAAATGGCTCAATTTACACAGTATAATCTATTCTAATGTAATTGCTTTTGATAGCTCATAACCCCGGCTGTTGCAACTACACAGCTTTCAGCCTTATAAAGTGTTTTCCCTTTGGATTTAAGCTGCATCTAAATCCGAAATTACATTCAGAGAGCCTAGAATACCTAAGCCCGACTAGTGCTGCCTCTGCCTCTCAATTGGCGAGCCCTGCACTCTTGCGATGAATAAATGCACGCGTTCCTTTCCCAGGGCCCCCTCTCGTGCTCCTGCCGGGATTTCCTGGCGGATCGCCGCTCCTTCCCGGCTCAGCAGCACCACCTGCAGCCCGCCCGGCCCCCGCCCAGGTGCCACCGGCCGCGGGGCCACCTGCGCCGCCGCCTTTGTCCTCCGCGGGGCCGGGGATGCTCCGGGGATGCTCCGTGCGAGCGGCGATTGTGCCACGCAGCAGCTCGGGCAGCTCACAGGCTCGCAACTCCGCGCTGCTGATGCCGGCTTACACTCCCAGCTACGTTTCACACGTCTCTGGTGACCTAAAAACTTGATACTGATTTTCTGCCGCGAACGTTTTTGGGTTTGTTTTCGCGTGTCGGTGTTAGTTTCAGGGTGCGCTCTGCAGAACGCAGTTCCCTTTTCACTAGGTCAATGTTACAATGAATTTACCTAATCAAAGGCGATACAAACCCTTAACAGGTTTGCTCCACTTCTCAGAAATGCCATCAATGCTTAAATATAAAGTGACAACTTGGGGGCCCACATCTTTTATCCCTCATCCCACAACTCTCACTCCTTTCCCAGACAAGTCATCATTTGTTGTCTCCAATGGCTCTGGCAAGGATTGCGGGATCAGACACTACGCTACCAAGATCAACAGCACCGTTTCACTCATCCCAGTCTTTTAATCTGAGAAAACATTTCATTTCTGCTTTAATGATACTTCTTCCTCCCCTTTACAACTGATACAACGGTACTCTAAAGAGCATGATAGCGGGCTCAAGTTATATATCCTTAATACCCATTTTTAATTAGATTCCTTATCCCCAGCTGAAGTGGCTTTTCCTTCCCCCTTCATTCACAATACTTAATCCTAACAGTCCTTGAGAATATTTGATGTTAAGTGTATCGTTTTACATTGAACTGTTTTCATCTAGTGCTTCCAACAACTCCTGTTTCCTAGTGATACTAGTTTGCAAGTGTTGAATATGTATTTCATCGTAAGAGTGCAACCACCATAAATAATCACTTTCTTTTAGGAAGTGTCACAAGCTAAAAAGGAGGAGGACTTATCCCAAAGATTAAAGTCTAATAGTTAAAAGCATCCACGCAAAAACTAACAAAACCAAAGCCTTTTCTAGATTTGAGGGGCTTTAACACTTTCAATATACTATTGGCTTCCACCAGAAAATGGTGAACTCCAAAAACGTTCCATCTTTCTGTCTGTGTACTTTCCAACCCCGCCACCTTCAGAAAGGGCACCCCAAAATATATGGTACATTTCAACTTCCCCTATTTGGTAACTACAAGAAAAAGGCAAGGTTTTGATAAAAATGAAGTTAGCCATTGTCTGTCACAGCTGACTTCTGCAGCAGAGCAAACTAGCAGACATAACGCACTCATGAAAAAATACGCAGCACCAGATCAATGTACATTTTATTCCTTTACTGCTCCATCATGTCATAAGGCTGGATTATTCCCTGTGCAAACAGATTTTTTTTTAAACACTTTATCTGCTTACTCATTTCACACACCAACAATTAAAAAAAAGTTTTATAACCCCCAACACATTTGTACAGCAATTTAAGTCAACTACAATTAACACAATCTGTTGGAATTAATCATGCTACCTGATGTCAGTTTACTTTTTTAAGCAGAAATCTGGTCTTTGCGATCAAAACATTTACGTATTTGAGAAATATCTTAACTCTCATTATCTCGAAATTTATAAATGTGCTGCACGGTGCGTCGGTTGGCTTGCCCACAGCACATTCTGCAGTGATTTACACAGTGGAACTGACTAAAATGGGAGCCTTGAAGTTTTTCTCTCTCAACCTTTTTCTCCCCCGCCCCTCTCGCCCCTCTTCTCTCAGTTCCTAACATTTGTTCAGAGATGATACCTGCCAAAGCTCCACTGTGAACAGTATTTTCTAATATCAAGTCATGTTGCATCAGTCAAGTTATATTATGTCACTTCAAACATACAAAACGCTGTTACCTCCCTGACATAACTTGACGTGATGCCACAACACATCAAGTCAGAAACGTTATTATTGTTGTTATTTTTTCAGCCTGCCCCTCCATCCTCAACGATATCTGTGAAGACCCACAGAAAAGTATTACTGAGTCTCCACTGCTCCTCGGCACGGCGGAGCGTGCTTGCCAAGGAAGCTTTCTGCTCACAGAGCCAGAGTGGAAACACAAATCCGCAGTTATGGCACCGCTGGGACAATCCTGGTGTCACACTGGGGCTGGCACACAGCCCTAAGGCCCCGAGCTGAAAGAGTGGGCAGCTGCCTCTGAGGCCAATGGCCACGGCCCAGCTTCCCAAGTAGCCTTCAGGGATGCAAAAGTAAAGGGCACGTATCTACAATGCAGCGAGCATCCTCCTTGCCATGCACCAGGACTTCTGGGAGGGGTAATCCTGAAATCCTGCCTTCTCTGTGCAGTAATAACTATGAATACCCCCACCGCTGCCAGAGACCTCAAAAGAAGAAAAACCCCTCAAAGAAAAACTCTACATGGCAAAGCCTCTTAAATCAAGGGGAGAATTGGATAGTAGCCACAAGGCCGGGATTTTTAGATGGTAAAAATCGGACCGGTTTCTGGGAAAAAGAAAAATAAAAGGGGAAAAAAAAGAGGCCATTTATGGGAGTAAAACAGACCCATTTTTATTAACAAGCTCATTCAAGCTTGATTTCAAAAGGAATTGGTTTAGTTAGCAAAAGCTTCCATTTCAGTCCATTTGTAACCTATGCAGGTCCAGCATCCCCTTTTAACATTCACAGATGAGCGGGCAAGTGGAGCCCATTTGAATCAGGCAGAAAGAAACTTACAAAGGTAAAATGACCTCTTCATAAAAAGAGTTTCTTCTCTGAGTCTCACCTCCTGTCCCCCATTTCTCCAGTGCACCTTTAAAAGTGACCACAATTTCTCCTCGAGCATAACTACTCCATCAATAGCACGGGAGATTCCTAGGCATTACTCCACCTTGTTGCTCTGATCTTCACATCCCTTCCATCAGGGGTTTGTTTCCTACTTTGCTCCTTTTTTAAGTGCACCCTACACCGATTTCCTCTTTACCTCTCCCATCCACCACCATTATTCCCTGTTATACACAGGCGCTCGTGAAACCTCCTGGAAGGAGGCTGTTGAGAACTGTCTGGATAATCAAGGGTTCTAGTTTCATTTCCTTACAGCACCGTCAGGCCGGCCCCGAGCTCCTCGTGTTTAATGAGTACGTCTGAGACACTTGAAAGAGCCCAAACAGCCCTATTAGGAAACTCTCCTCAGATGTCGGTCTGTGCTCGCAGCTCACCTGTGCCTCTCGCCCCTGCAATGGAGCAGCATCCTGCTGGCAGCCTGTCAATCACACGGGAACAGACTCGGGCTGGCAGGCACCCCCTGACAGAGAGGCACCGCGATGAACACATCACCGGTTATTATTATTATTAAGGGGTATTAACAGAGATGTTAAGAGCCCTTCTTCCCTTTTCCTGCAGCAGCTGAGCAAAATTCAGGGGACTCTTGCAATGCAGGTTACCCCTGAAAGTGAGGTCGGAGAGAAACACAAACCTTGTTCCATACACCAGTAAGAAATAACCCGTGTTTAATTCCTCGGTCATTACTTAAGCTTTTTACCTAAGTGCACAGGGGGCTCGGGATAAGAAAAGTCTTTCTACTGTTGTCTCTCCCTGACCAGTTAGATAAGTTCATTCCCTCTTCTCCAACACACGCGCTTTCCGCTGGAGCACTACAGACCCCATTAATAACACTACATCAGTTTGCTTCAGAGGGCTTCAAGAAACTGGAGGACAGAAAAGATGCTGGCTGAGGGATTGATTCTCCGAGGGCCCAGAGGCATGTGACGAGCTCCGTCGCCACGCACCTCTCGGGGGCAGCGAGCATTTAACCTTGCGGTTCTCAGCGCTCCGGCCCCCTCCCACAAGCCAGCCCGGACCGCTCTTCGTGCCCGTCCCACTCGGCGGTGTCGCGGCGGGCAGACTCTCCCCGTGCAGAGGCAGAAACTCCAGACCGAAAGCAAAGGGGAAGGGGATGGAAAAGAGGTAGAGGGGAGGGGAAAAAAAAAAAATAAAAGAAAAAAGAAAACAGCGAAGGAGAGAGGAGAGCATCTCCCACTTTGTCCCTTGAGCCTGGCATCCACTTTTCCGAGTTGGAGCCCCCGGCAGCGCGGCACAGGGACGTGCTGTGGCCATTGACAGCGGCAGGCAGGGCCGCCCTGCCCGCAGCGGGAGCGCGGGGCGGCGTTCGGGCCCCCGCGGCCTCGGGAGCCGCCGGAGCTGGCCCGGGGGCGACCCGCGCCGAGGCCACCGGCGCTGATCCGATGGCGGCCCGGTGTCAGACCCCCCCCACCCCCGCAGCAGCGGGGCCGCGGCCAGCCCTGCCGTGTGTCCGCCCCGCCCGGCCCGGCCCGGCCACCGCAGAGAGCGACCCTCGGGCGCGGTGCGGCGGGGCCAGCGTCCCGGCTGTGTGTCCCCGTCCCGGGTGTCCCCGGCCCCGCCGTCCCGGGCGTCCCCGGCGCCGCTTTGTGAGCGAGCGCGGCGGGACAGGCCGGGCGGCAGCGCCGTGCCGCGCCGCGGGGCAGCTCCCCCGACCCCGCCGCCTCCCTCCGTCTCCCCTCCGCCCGTGCCCGGGCGGCAGCGGCGGGCCCCGCGCCCCGGTCCCACCTACCGTCCTCCTTGTCCAGCACCATTGTCCCGGGCGCCGAGGGCGGCCGCCGCCGCCGCCGCTCCGGCTCCTTGGGGCGCTCCCCCTCCAGCCGCCGCTCTGGGCTCCGGGGCGGGCGAGGCTCCGGGCCGGTGCACCGCGGCGCTGCCGAGGCGCGGGGCAGAGCGGCGCGGCCGGCCCGGCGCTGCCCCGGGACGCGAGTTTGGAGCGGGGCTGCGGCGGGCTAGGGCCGCGCTGGGCGCCGCGGAGCCGGAGCCGCGCTCCTGCACCAGCCGCCTCGCCCCCGGCCCCGCCGCTGCAGCTCGAGTGCCAGTTTAGGG